CCTGACAGATTTTTAGTGAAGGCAAAGGGTTTGAATCGGAAGAGAGAGTAATTACCTCTGCAGCATCAGCATGGCTGGCTTCGGCATCATCCTGACAAATATCATCATCAATAAGGCGTATGAAAAATAAGCCAAGTGAATCAAGCTCTACCTCAAGGTCCGGATTACCCACATCATCATCAGGGGCCGGATCAGAAGATGCAGTGGTTTTCTTCTTATGAGCAGGCCGTTTCACGACTTTAGTCTTTGGTCGGGTTGGTCTTTTCGGTTTGTCTATTTTTTCTGGCTTCTCCTGCGGAAGCTTCTTGCTCCAAAACGGATCATTGCCCTGTTTAAACAGACATTGATATCAAATAATGACCAGATATATCAATAACAGGTTCAGTAAAAAGAAAAATCAAACTCTTACAGCTGGCGGTCTGTTGGTGGCACAGAAGGGAAGCAGGCCGGTTCGAGCACAGATGTGTTCCGGTTCATTCAGCATTTTATTCACAGCCTCTGTGATTTCTTCATTGGTGAGCTGGATGTTAGCATGTCGCAGTGGGTCATCAACACTGCCAGTATACTCGCACATCAAACCGGAGCGCTGACTAAGGGGCAGTATGCTCCACGATATCCAACAGCAAGCGAGATCAACCCCTGTTAAACCGTTGGCCATGAAGGCTCTGAGCTTGGACAGTTGAGGAGCGTATTTGCTTCTCTCCTTGGCAGTCAACCTTTGCGGAAAGGGGTGTGTATTGCTAAGCCGCTCCGGACGAAAGCCAGGCAAAGGATTTTCACCAGCAGGGGAGGTGTCTTTGCAATAGGACCATGTTTGATTCCACTCTTTGGGGTGGCTGTGCAGTTTGGCGTGAGGGTATGTGACCTCTTTCCTTTTCTGAATCGCCACACCACCCAATTCCGTATTGGAACCGTCAGTAAACTCAGTACGGCGGTTTAGATGGAAGCAGTCTCTGAACAACTCAACTGTGGGCTCCTCTTGAAAGAACACCTCACAGAGCACTTGGAAGTGACACATGTTTGTAACAGAGTTGGGGCCAGTGTCTTGTGGGCGGAGTTGAAAATTGGCCAAAACATCCCGGTAAAATTTAGAACCGGGCGGCTTAAAGCCCCGGGCTAAGTGATCTACGAAAACGACGACCTCTCCTTCTTGAGGTGTGGGAGGGCATTCTTTGCCGGGGACCCTCCAATGGATGGTGTTTTTGCTGCCTAAAGCGCCGATCGGGACTAAATTGTTCATTTGAGTCTCTGTGACGCGAGAAGGAACCCAGTTGCACTCATATACTTGCTTGGCCATGATGAAATCTACAAGATAGGTGATTCCGGTTCAAGAATGCATTGATTAAAGTACACTGGTATGTACAATGTTAAACCGGAGACAGCTCTATCTAAACCGGAGTTTTATGAAGCAACAGCATCTGGCGGTTCAACAAGGGGACTAATGGTATATAGAGGTTTGGCAATTTTTTCTACAAAGTTAAACCGCCTGGCCTAAACATTGAAACAGTCGAGATTGTAGATGAGTAAGTATGCAAAACAGGTTTCACAAGATTATACTACAGCGTTGGATCTGGAACATGTTCATAAAAGAGATAAAAATTCAAGGCCCAAAAGGAGCAATGCCGAATCAATGAGCCATCGCTACGGATAAGATCTATGGTCTTAATATGCGAAAGTGAAAACAGAGGGTAAAAACTACTGCTACATAAAAGCAAAGATTCACAGACTCGTCTAAAGATCTAGCATATGAACAAGGAGCAGGCGATGAACACTAGAGAGCATGGAAACCCTAGAACAGATCTATAATGAAAAATATAGAAGACTTACTGGAGCTGAGGAAGACGCGGAAGGTCGCCGCGGTGCTCTGGTACGCTCAGGGTGATGCAGCGGCCAAGGTTGGTGCAGTAGTTGACGGTGGCGGCGGAGCTCCGAAGCTGGGCGACACGAGGAAGACGAAGCAGAAGGGCACGAAGGGGAAAAAGAAATGACCCTTTGGTCCTATTTATAAAGAAAGGGACATGTGTCAGGCGCGAGAATCAAGGGGCCGCGAATTTGGAAACGGAGATGTCGCCTCGATTGTCGCAGATCTATTAAACAAGAAGGTATCATGGATAGTTTCTTTATGACAGATGACGTCACTCCGGTTTACAGTAATCAGAGAAGATGACATCACGACAGTTCACCAAACTACAAGAAGATGTTGAAGATGAAGTTTTGCTAAAGGATTGACATGAACCTGTTCAAATCAATCTGGGGCCTAATGTTGGGGATATTACTACTGGGCGCAAACCGGCCTATCTGGGCCGGGTTAACTTCATCAGTAGTTAAGTATGTTAAAGCCCATGAAGGTAGATGAGGGCTTAAAGCCCATGATCGGTTTAAGGCCTGTAGCCGTAAACCGGCGTCGGTATGTAAACTTGTATTGTGAGTTAGGAATAAGTAGAGACCAAACCGAACACGTATATGAGCCGGTGTTGGGAATCTGTAAACCGACGGGCGTCACCCATGTATATAAGGGGACGACCCAGTGGTGGTTTAAGGACAACAGACAACAACTCGAGACCTAGGCGAAGCTTGTTTGCTCCCTAGTCATCGAAACCCCATCAATTCCATCACAACTAGACGTAGGCTTTTACCTTCATCGAAGGGGCCGAACTAGTATAAACTCTCTTGCGTCCCTGTGTCCGCTTTAACCTCTTCAAGCTAACCCGTTGCGATGGCTCCACGACTAAGTCCTTTCACGAGGATATCTGCCGTGACAAAACCACGACACAAGCTAAGTTCATTATAATGTGCAAGGAAAATCAACTCATCACAATTTTTGGACATGATTAGATCATGAAACAATTTGCATCGGATAGCTAAATGACCACTTTCATTGCAAAGTCCACAAGTACGGCAAAGAAAATTTAAATTTTCAGCACAATCATCTAGCCTTTCTTGCAACAATTTAGTTTCTAAGTGCTTATGCCTCTTGCAATATCTATCTTCCCTATTTTGTGTGTACTTGCAAACCAAATGCACTCCACAAAAATTGACATGTTTATAGGAGACATTTTCATCATAACTAGTGCAATCATCATTAGTACCATGGATATTCAAGGAGTTCATACTAAAAACATTGCAATCATGCTCATCATTCAAAGGTTTAGTGTCAAACATTTTAATGCATTCTTCTTCTAACACTTTGGCACAATTTTCCTTTCCATCATACTCACAAAAGATATTAAAAAGATGAAGCGTATGAGGCAAACTTAATTCTATTTTTTTGTAATTTTCTTTTATAAACTAAACTAGTGATAAAACAAGAAACAAAAAAACTCGATTGCAAGATCTAAAGATATACCTTCAAGCACTCACCTCCCCGGCAACGGTGCCAGAAAAGAGCTTGATGTCTACTACACAACCTTCTTTTTGTAGACGTTGTTGGGCCTCCAAGTGCAGAGGTTTGTAGGACAGTAGCAAATTTCCCTCAAGTGGATGACCTAAGGTTTATCAATCCGTAGGAGGCGTAGGATGAAGATGGTCTCTCTCAGGCAACCCTGCAACCAAATAACAAAGAGTCTCTTGTGTCCCCAACACACCCAATACAATGGTAGATTGTATAGGTGCACTAGTTCGGTGAAGAGATAGTGATACAAGTGGTATATGGATAGTAGATAAAGGTTTTTGTAATCTGAAAATATAAAAACAGCAAGGTAACTAATAATAAAAGTAGCACAAACGGTATTGCAATGCTAGGAAACAAGGCCTAAGGTTCATACTTTCACTAGTGCAAGTCCTCTCAACAATAATAACATAATTGGATCACATAACTATCCCTCAACATGCAACAAAGAGTCACTCCAAAGTCACTAATAGCGGAGAACGAACGAAGAGATTATGGTGGGGTACGAAACCACCTCAAAGTTATTCTTTCCAATCAATATGTTGGGCTATTCCTATAAGTGTCACAAACAGCCCTAGAGTTTGTACTAGAATAACACCTTAAGACACAAATCAACCAAAACCCTAATGTCACCTAGATACTCCAATGTCACATCAAGTATCCGTGGGTATGATTATATGATATGCATCACACAATCTCAGATTCATCTATTCAACCAACACATAGAACCTCAAAGAGTGCCCCAAAGTTTCTACCGGAGAATCACGACGAAAACGTGTGCCAACCCCTATGCATAGGTTCATGGGCGGAACCCGCAAGTTGATCACCAAAACATACATCAAGTGAATCACGTGGTATCCCATTGTCACCACAGATACGCATGGCAAGACATACATCAAGTGTTCTCAAATCTTTAAAGACTCAATCCGATAAGATAACTTCAAAGGGGAAACTCAATCCATTACAAGAGAGTAGAGGGGGGAGAAAACATCATAGGATCTAACTATAATAGCAAAGCTCGTGATACATCAAGATCGTATCACCTCAAGAACATGAGAGAGAGATCAAACACATAGCTACTGGTACATACCCTTAGCCCCGAGGGAGAACTACTCCCTCCTCGTCATGGAGAGCACCGGAATGATGAAGATGGCCACCAAAGAGGGATTGCCCCCTCCGGCAGGGTGCCGGAACGAGTCTAGATTGGTTTTCGGTGGCTACGGAGGCTTCTGGCGGCGGAACTCCCGATCTATTATGCTCCCCGATCGTTTTAGGGTATATGAAGATATATATATAGGAGGAAGAAGTGCGTCAGGGGGGCCACGAGGGTGGAGGGTGCGCCCAGGGGGGTGGGCGCGCCCCCTGCCTCGTGGCTTCCTCGTTGATCCCCTGACGTGCACTCCAAGTTTTCTGGGCTTCTTCTGATCCAAAAATAAGTTCTGTGAAGTTTCAGGTCAATTGGACTCCGTTTGATTTTCCTTTTCTGCGATATTCTAAAACAAGGAAAAAACAGAAACTGGCATTGGGCTCTAGGTTAACAGGTTAGTCCCAAAAATCATATAAAATAGCATATAAATGCATATAAAACATCCAAGGTTGATAATATAATAGCATGGAACAATCAAAAATTATAGATACGTTGAAGACGTATCACCCTTACACATGTGGGACATCAACTGATGCTGGCGAAAGGTCTATGGGAATTTGTGTCCCCAGGTCTATTGGTTCCCTCCAGATCTTGCAGTTGGTGTGTCTTTCAAGGAGAATTATTGGTTCGCTTTTTGTGTTGTGACTTCAACATCTTCTTCCATTTTGTTCCGTGGCCTGTTCTGGTTTATCAAACCCTCTAAACTGGTCATGATGGATTTTAAGCCTATACTGCATGGGGTGATCCTTCAACCGATGCTGCTTCAGCGATTCATATACCTCGTCTCAACGGACGAGTGACTATTGTGGTATTAAACGCCTGGTATGGCGAGGGAGTTTGCATATGTCCTTTCCTTTATTGTTGGTTCAGTATAATTTTCAATCTTCAACGGGGGGCTTACAATCCGGGGAAGAAGAAGGCCAGTGTGATTTTAATATAGTTTTGTTTTTACTGGTCGTTCTGCGTCCACTTGTCTGTCCATTATACTGACTTTTGTTTTCCTTATAGATCTAAAATGCCCTTAAGGTATTTTTATTGCAAGAACATTGAAACTAAAACAAAACTAAATATTCCATATCTAATCTCTTCATTTTGTCCTCTAATTTTTCATTCATATTCCCAGTAGCTGCCCAGCGTGTGGTACATTCAAATCCAAATATCATTACTGCCACATTTATTTTACATTTAAAAAGAACTAGTCAATTCTCCGTATGTTACAACGTCGACATAATATTGTATACAAAACCATCATGATTTACCTGACTTTTGTTGTTTATTATGTGATTACGTGCCAAAATATTAATTTAACTATTGATTGAATTGGGACTTATTAACTTCAAACAAAACATGATTAAGGTGAGGCGGTAAAACATGGGGGTAGTTGAGCTGATGTTTTTTAAGGAAAAAAAATGGAAAAAATTTCAACAAATCCGCATATAAAGCTAGAATAGAAGGGAGGGGACATAAATGAGCATGGAAGCACTTGTTTATCGGTTTCTTTCAATGAAATGATATCAGGAGCGGGAAGCTTCTTAGTGAAAAAGGAAAACATGGAACCTGATGTGCTTTTTTAATGTATATATAGAAGAGTTTAAGAAGCAGTTCATTTGGCCGATTCTCCCAAAATCTCAACAATTGGTTCTCCCCAGATTCTTCCAGAATCACGAATTCATTTTTTACAGCCCTACCTAGTTAATGTCTAAATAGTTAGGATTGTCAAGAAATATGGTTTCAAGATTCAGATAGAATCTAGTGGGTGGTATGATTCTAAAAATTCAGAGAGAATTGGCCAAAAGAACTGAGACTAAAGACATTGTACACTAGTTGTAAAATATTTAATATTAATTCTCAAAGATATGTAGTTTTATGGAATCTGCTGTTTTTTACATAACTTTTGGGAATCTGCTTTCTAATATGGAAAGGCTAAAAATCTAACGTCAGACTTTTAGACATGGTAAATCGAACGTTTTTTATTGCAATTTATATTGACGCGATAATAACATATCTAGTTTGCAAGCACAATAATTCTCTGACAAAAAAGAACTGAGACGAATTTATCATACTCGTCAACTAAACTTGTCATCCTCGATGAACACACTTGTCATGAAAAATATTCATTTTGCCATGCCTAAGAATCTGACATTCGCTAGATTCTTCTAATAAGGAAATGCAAAAATTCTGAAGTTGGAGTTTGAGGCATGGAAAATCAAATGTTTTTCATGGCAATTTATATTGATGCGAGAATGGCAAATTAGTTTACAAGCACGGCAATTTTTTGACAAAAAAATTAGGATGATTTGTCATGCTTGTTAACTAAATTTGTTATGCTTGACGAATATATTTTAGGGAATGTCTAGGGCACATCTAGATGTGCCCTACTTATTGCACATCTAAGTGAGTGAATCAAGTATGAAGAGGAAAAGAAAAAAAAATATCCACACGAATCTCAACGTAAGATCAATGATATAGGATTTAGATGTGCAATACTTATGGCACATCTAGATGTGCTTTAGCAAAACTGTATATTTTACCCTGAGAGACGTTTGATTCGTCATGCCTAAAAACTTGACATTAGCTGGATATTCGGATCCTTTTAATACGGGAGGAAATCCTCATTTTTCTCCACTTTCTCTTGATAACCCAATTTTCCCCGTTAAATTCCGTGGAAGGAACCACCGCTCCAGCGCAGCCATGTACCCCGATCCCAACGCCTCGTGCCTTCCGCCTAGCCCCGCGACGTGTCCATTCCTCTGAGATGGCAGTCACCGCGACCGACATGGACCGCATGGCGAACGGCGCCGTCGAGTCCTCCGCCGAGTCCCCGGCCGCGGAGGCGCCTCCGGAGGCCAGGACCAAAGGCCGCGGGCTCCGTCGGTGGCGCCGTATCCAGCGGGAGCACCGCGCGGAAGGCCCCGCTGCCCCCGCCACTGCCGCTGGTGGCAGAGGTCGTGCAGATGACGACGCGGCACAGCTCCACAAGCGCCGGCTGCCCATCGGCGCCGCCGCGCCCCCCAAGGAGAAGCACGAGGTGGCCGTCGAGGAGGTGGAGAGCTCCACCGCTTCCGTCGAGTCCCGCTTCGTCCCACTGGAGCCAGTGCCGGCGCCGGCGCCAGCGAAGCTGGACCCGGATCTCGGCCTGCTCGTCTCCTCCGTCGGCTTCTCGGTCGGCGCAGGCGGCGCTGACTCCGACAACAGCGAGGACCGGAGCAGCAAGTCCTCCACCGCCGCGAGCGCCCCGCGCCACGACTTCCCGCGCGAGCGAGACAGGCTGCGTGCTCACACCGCCGCCGCCATCCACGGGAAGAATCACCGGACCGCGCGCGCGCGAGCCGACAGGCAGAGCGCTCACACAGCCTTCTCCCTGGCCAAGGCCGAGGCCGATAACTCTCGTTGGAGCGTCGAGTCCGACCGCCGCAGCTCTAATGCCGTCCATGGCCGGAAACAGGGGGTCGGCAGCATCGGCAATGGCATCCACAAGGAACTTTCTGATGGTGATGACCACAGCGATGAAGGGCAGCCAAGCGATGAGATGCGATCAACAGCTGGAGGTTACTGCACGCAGAGTGGGAGTAGTGTGGTGGGAAAATTGGGTGGCGGAAATGGTGATTCTGGTGATGCTGATGTTGAGGACACATTTGATGAGGGGGGTGTTGGGAAGGGTGAGATGGGATTAGAGATGAACTCATGTGCCAACCCATTTGCGGAATCTATTTTGTCACTTCAGAGAACGCAGGAAGCTCTCGAGAATGGTATGGCTGAATTCTCACCCAACTTATCTTTATTCACCATCCAAATGTGGCATGCCAACTGTTTGTACAAACCAATGCTTTTGTCGATGCATTTGTTCTTACTGCATTTTGTAAGAAGTGTAAGATCAAACTGCCATACATTTCCTGATGCTTGAGCAATAAAAGTCATTGTTCGGTTATCTTGATATTGTTATTTGCTTTTTGGGACGGAATGAACTATAGCTGTAATACGATGACCAATCAGTGATGCTACTTTTGAAATGATATTGGTTGGGAAGTCCTGTTACTTCTAATTCTACTCAGTATAAAATTATCTATTTGGTCCTAAATCCGGTTCATTCAATAATGCAATCTAGGAACATTTATTTTTCTACATCAGAAGTTGAATTAGCTTAAACTCATTAATTATAAATAGTTAGTGTTTCAATTATATGGCTACAGTAGTTGATTATGTTTGACATGACCAAATCATTGGAATTTTCACCCTGTAGAAACTTGTGGTCTACTGTGACATTCTGTTGGCATTATCCGATAAATGATCAGTGAAGATTCCTTGTTGTAAAATTGGTTGTCTGCTAACCATGTTTTGAGCAACTGCTCTGAGGCTTGTCTTGAAACGCCACGTCAGTCCATTTCCAGTTCTGTGTCATTGCATGGTTTGTACTGACACAATCAGTACGGTCGTGATATGATTTACCATTTTATGCATTGGTTTTCAAGTAATCATTGCTTCTATGCATATTGCAGAGATACGGAACTTTGTGGTGATCGGGAAAGAATCAACCGATGATCTTGATGCACGTGATGATGAATGGAGCAACTCGCTCCACATTGAGGAATCTGTTGAAGAAGCAAATGAAAAGAGAAAGGATCTTGAGTCAAGGGTGGAACAAGCATCAATACTGATCAAGGAGAAGGATTCAAGAATACTTGAACTAGAAGCTCTCAGCCGGACGAGGGCGTGGAGAAGTGCAATTCAGAGTGCTAACAACCAGCTGTTGCAGCCGGATCTTGATCAACTGCTCCAGGAGAAGATGGAAGCGGAGATTCAGTGCATCATCCTGACAAGAGCCTCTCAAACCTGGACACCCGTTGCCGAGGATCGGAAAGCTCTCTACAAGGAGCAGAAATGTCTGCTTGGCGACTACAAGCAGCTCGAACTCAAACTGCGTAGTGCCGAGAACCGAGCAGCAATACTAGGGGAGATGGTGGAGAAGCTGGAGGCGCAATGCAAAGAGCTCTCTGCGAGTGCAGAAATCTTGCAGCTGCAATCTAGAACAAGCTCCGCGTCACTGTTATGTTTCATCCAGTTTATACTGCTGCTTATTGCCATAGGCATCTATGTTGTGCGTCTGTCTCCATCCTCGGCCGAGTTTGTACCTACGTGAGGTTAGAACTACCAGCAGTTGTGCCTTGTTACTAGTTAAGCTTAGAAGAATATACCGTGTAAACTTGCCAGCAGAAGTTTAAAATTTCGTTTGTAATTAAGCTCTTTGCTTTCTGGTTCTTGTATCTGATGGTCCAAGATTTTCTGGGTAAGTGGAATAAGAGCTGATATCATCAGCTGATCACTCAGAACCTTCTACCGGAAAGATTGCCTTCTATGCCTAGTGAGTTTGTCTGGCTGTACGCTGAGCACTGAGAACCTTCTACCGGAAAGATTGCCTTCTATGCCTAGTGAGTTTGTCTGGCTGTACGCTGAGCACTGAGAACCTTCTACTCGAGAAGATTAAGATTGTATACTGAGGTTTATTGGAAATGGGAAATGTTTGCGAGAGAGAATTGGCTAAAACTGGAAGAGGATTTGTGGCTCTTGGGTCTCACCACCCCCTATATGAATATAGCATTAGAAAACATATTAGGAAATTCCAAAAAAATCTAAAATTTTGGGTTATGAAACCTGGGTGTCCGTTGTACACACGTGTTCAATTTCGTGGGGAATGGGTGCCTGTGATAATGTCAGTAAAAAGACAAAAAAATCATGTGTAGAAAAAAAACTTAATGTAACGTATGTTGGACCGTAATTTCTGCTCCGCGGATACGACGGCACCCATTCCTCATGAAAATGAACACGGATGTATAATGGGCACCCAGGTTACATATCCCAAAATTTCAGCTTACGAATTTTTTTGATATCTTTTTAATGTTATTTTTGTATAGGGGTGTGTGACACCTGGGTGCTCCAATGCATTTCGCGGCTAAAACTCTACTATGCTATGTTATATACAATGATCGGGTTGCGTCTAGTATGATCGGTGTGCTTTATCTAAACTAGGCAGGATAAATTGGTTACCTTTCCCACTCTAAGAGCTTCTCTCAGCACGAGTTGTAGAGATGAGAATCATGAAAATCAAGATCCCAAACAAGAAAATAAGTACAGTACAAACCAAGGAAGAGGCATCGCGAGGGTCATCGGTTCAAATTCAGTAGTCGACTTTTTTCTCTATCGATGTTCTAGGTACAAGGATCTTTTTTTTTCTGAATTAAATGGTGAATCCAGGATCTTTTACGTTTCCTACCATATGACAACATGCGCCTGAGTATCAATCACAAGTCACTCTCGATGACATGTGCTTTCGCTTCACTGGCAGTATCCTTCACTCACTCTCTTGATTCGTATTCAGCACGACTGATGAGAATATGTAGCTTAGCTTGAAGCCCTTGCTCAGTAGCCGTACCCTTCGTTACTTTTTTCTTGCATCATGGTCACACTCAAGATTTCTCTCTCCCCCGGCAAAACACTTTTACATGTCCTTTTCGTCCACTTCATATCATGTTTGTTTTGTTTGAAACACGAATACCCTGTTGTACCCTATCCATCGTATTTGCTCTTCGGTAAACGTAAACTGATCGGGAGCAAGATAAGATCAGCATAGTTTGTTAGACTATTGCTGGCTTACAAAGAAGAAGGCATGCAAGAGTTCTGAGAGATGTATGGGTAATGACACCACTTATAACAACAGGCAGTCAGTTTGTTCAGCGCAACCACACCTTTGTAGCTGAGCTTTGGTTTAGTCAGAGCGCAGGGCAAGACCTACAGATATGTACATCCTTTCTACAACTTACGATCTTGTTCTTGCAGACCTCAACCACTTAGCTATTCACAAAGCTGAATCAAGGTAGCTGTAAAACCGTCGACGACTGAACTGGAGGAGGCTGCTATAGTTGCGATCATGTACGCTGACAAAGAGAGCCTCAGTGTCAGGACTGAACGATATGCCGGCAATCTCACCAAAGAAGTCCAGCTCCTGCTTCCTGTCGTACCCACTCCCGACGTCAAAGATGTGGATGAAGTCTGCAGCTTCAGCCATTGCCAGGAACTTGCCGTCAGATGTATAGCGGATGGACCTTATGGCTCCCATGTTGCCTCCCAGGACAGCGACAGACTTGGAGAGGTTACGGGCGTCCCAGATCCTGCATGTCTTGTCTTGGTTCCCAGTTGCGAATGTCCGGCCGTCTGGGTTCCATGCCGATGCAAACGAATAATCCAAATGACCACTGAGCTCGTGAATCATCTGCGGGAAAACAAACAACGAAACGCTTGTGTAAATTACGATGTCATTGTTTGAAAGTCGACGATTGGGCCTTGCGCTGTACTTACTTTCCCCGAATTAGCATCAACCAGAACACCGTCAGGATTGTCCCCCACAACAGCAATGATTTTACCATCAGGGCTCAAGGATGTGTGCTGCATCAAAGAAAACAAAGGAGCAAAACAAGGTCAGGCTGATATCCTCCTCGTCACCTAATGGAAGATAAACATTCTTTGACCAAGTATTGAGTATTAACTTCAGTACCAAGTTCTGACTCCTTTGGTTTGGAGGAATTTCATAGGAATTTTAGAGGATAGGATTTTTATAGGATTTTTTTCTTTAGAGCCCTTTGGTTCATAGGAATAGATTCCTATTCCTACATAGGATTGGTTCCTATCCTCCACATTTCATAGGAAAATAAAAATGAGCCTAGACTCAATGGAAAAATTCCTTTGGTGTCAACCAAATGACATCTCGTTTCCTATTCCTACTCATAGGATTTGAGATACATGCCATCTCATTTCCTACAAAATTCCTATTCCTATGATAATCCTATCCTATGAACCAAAAGAGGCCTAAACTACAATACACAGTGCATTCTCGAAAAAAAAAACTACAATACACAGTGCAGCAAATAGAACACTAAATATAGACAAGTGCAAAGGATGAAGCTGAGGCTTACATTCACAGCCCAATCGAAATGAAAATTATTGCACATTTGAAACTTCTCCATGTCAAAGTCTCTTAGTCCACAATCATTGTTTGATGCTAGGAAATGCACGGAACCACTGCCAAAATAATTTTTAGATTGTGATCAATGAATGCTCAATTTCACAGAAACAATGGAACAATTTGTTCATAGAAAATAACCTACCTAGGTTTCTCAAATATCTCCAGAAAATTAGTAATGCCATTGTCATCATGAGTTGACTTGGAACAATAGCTTATTCCTTCACGGTCCAAAAACTGCATTCCACAGACAATAAATTACATTGTAAATGGTTGTAGATGTCAGAGATGGAATAAAACGTTAAAAATGAAAATAAGTTACTTTGCAAATTAGTTCTCCATGAAAGCCACCAGCAACCAGCAGGTTGTTCTTGACTGCCAATGTGCTAACGTGAGTCCGATAAAAGCCCTCATAGAAATTCCCCTCGTGCTTCTGAAGTCAAAAGCAACAAATATATTAAATATATAAGGATCTGTAAGAAAAATGCAGGTTCAAACAAACACTTGGAAGAGGAATTTGTACCTCACATGGAGCAACATGTCCTTGAAGATCAATGACCTCGTGCTTCTCAGAGGTCAGTGGTGACCAATGAAGCACAGACATGTGTGACATAAGATAAACATCATGCCTTGTTGTTGCCCATACTAAATTTCTCAACTGTATGAAAGTGATAGAGTGAGCTTAATAATTTCACATGAGCAAGCAGGCAATTAATTATGTGAGAACATCTGATTGCTCAGTACAACCATATGTTAAAGAGATACAAGGCATGTTAGGTGTTGTAAATGTTTGCTCCCGTGTTAGGACTTGGGACGCCATATTGCAATTTTACAACTACCTTTCTGCACTTTCATGAAGTGCATATTCAAGAGAATGTGTAGACTTTGTTAGTTACTAATTTTCATAGGAACAGTTGATTATTTTTTCTCTCTGCATGTATTCTAAAAACTGAACATCAAGAAAGAAAATCTGCGACAGACTAGCTTGTGCAGGACTACAGCCAAATATTGGCAAGCATGGAACAAGGAACACAATAACAGACACGGTATCTCAATTAGCATGTCTGAAAACCCTTGTTTGCTTAGCATGAGCTGAGCAAGACCCAATGAAAATATGGTACCAGAAGCTACCATTTTCTCACCTGAAAATGAAAAATGGTCGGTCTCACAGATCTTGTGTTATGCGCAAACTCGTAGTAGAGTTGACCTTTCTCCACAGGTGTACATACCTGCATCAAGATCACCACGAAAAACCTCAGAAACTGAACAGGAACACGGAGTACTGTTACCAATCTATCTTGTTATCTAGCACTATCATACCTTCTCCGATAATTGTCCCGAATTAGGTATGTTCTCAAAGTTCGTATACCCTTCCAGTCTTGACTTCCTATATCCGTCCCTTGTGATGGTCAGCCGTTCCCAGGGAATTCCCTGTATGTCCTTCCCTTTCAGGACATCCATCGCAGATGTATCTTCTGACGCCTTGCTAATCTACAAACAACAGAATCCAATTCTGTCAGACCAATAGAAAACTATTCTGAAACTGCAGCCCTGGAATCTAGAAATGCCACAAATGCAGGTAAGACAGTAATTGATCTAAACTGTAATATGGCATTTGACTAGAAGTGTATTTATCTGCAAAACAATCTTTGATTAATCGTTGAGCTCAAGCTAGCAACCTACTCAATTACCACAGCAGCATCAAGGTATGCGCATGGCGCGGGCCAATTGAACTAGGAATCGAGCAGGAAGGCGAAATCAGCAACATAAAGGATCAAGTTGGAGACGAGACCCCATGGCCCAAGAACTTGGCAGGCGGGCGAACTTACAGATTGGACGTACTCGTCGTCGTCGTAGTCGGAGTCCCCCGCCAGGTCGGCGAGGCGGTCATCCTCCTCCTCGGGGTACACTCCGGCGAGCCCGCCGTCGTACAGCGACATGGCCTGCAAGGACGTCGGGGGAAAAGCCGCAAATTTGAGCCGAACTCAACCAAAATTTGCGGGGAAATTTCGAGATTATGTCTGCAAGAACACTCACCTCAGTTAATTTCGGCGCCTTGGGTTAGGAACGGGCTTGAATCGCTGTCGAGCTAGGGTTCTGAGGTTTCAGTGAGGGAGAGGAAGCAAGGCTGCCTTTTCTTGTTGGCACTTAAATAATCACAGGCGAGTCTCTCAGAAATAAACCCTCGTAGAAATAAGAAATGAGTTTTGCTTCGGCACACACTCTCTAAAAAGTTTGCACGGATCTTAAAGTTACTTAAAAAGGTTATCGCTATGTTAGCCTGCAGATCAAACGTATTGAATAGATTGATTTGGATAAAAAAAACTATATTACCCCTTTGATTGAAGATGTACCTTCTAATTTTCACATTTAATCTCTATCGAAATCCATAAACTTAGAATGTTTCTAAGAGTATGTATCGAAGCAGAGTTCATAAGAAATATCATGGCAACAACAAAAGGAAATGGGTCGAGTCAGGCCGAACCGTTTGGTAATTCGAGTCGAATCGACCGCGACCGGAGCCACCGCTCTGTCAGGCCTAGGGGTGATGCCTTGTCTGGAAAGTCCAGGTCTTGTTTGCAAGGATATAAGGTTAATTTTTCCTAAGTTTATGAAGGTTTGAAGACCATCTCGAGGTCTATTAGCGTCAAATTGAGTTCCTACTTGATGCGGGGGACTCAATGAGAAGAAGATGAATCTTGTGGCATTGGAAAACTTTTGTCGTGTCTACGCCCCTCAATGATGCATCTCTTCAAAGAAGTGAGCATGGGATACATCTTTGTCTCTCATGCCTCGTTTATTTATATCCTAAATCTTTCACTTGTGTTTTTTCAATTGTATCATTGTATACTCTCTTCGTTTTAAAATAAGTGTCTCAACTTTATACTAACTTTAATACAAAGTTGTACTAAGTTTGAGATACTTATTTTGAGATGGAGGGAGTATATTATTTGGGTTGTAGTTGCATTTTGGAAAAACTATTTAGCTGCAAAGCCTAAATTGCTAAAGAAAAGAGACAATGTTTATAGAGATCTATTCACAGTCGCCACCTTGATCCTTCACAACCGTATTCATGTCAACAACAAAAAAATGTCGCTAACTATATTTGTGTGGTCGAATCAAATCAACTACACAAAATACAATTGAACGCCGTTGTTGTCAACTGTATAACGCAATTGAATATTTTGCATCAGCCGCACTACTTACTGGAATGTTACGGGGTAAATGTCCACTACTTTGTGAAACACAAGTATATAAACTTAGCGAACTGAGCGTAGCTCAGCTGATTAGATTCCTTGTAGTGGAACCAACCCATGAGGGTTCAAGTCCTAAAATTAACATTGGTGGATGCATTTTTCTAGGTTTATTTCATTCCTTTCGGCGATGTGCGTTCAATGAAAGAAGACGTTCTGTCTGTGGATTTCGTCAATCTTAAGATGATGTGTCGACTCAATCTTTCGAATGTACTTATATGATAAAGTATGCATGCGTGTGTTCATATGGATGAGTACATGTGCGTCTGAAGTTTGTAATGTGTTCAAATTTTTTATTTAAACTGAGGCAGTCACAATGACACGCCCAACTTTTTTGAAACGGAAGCATACACATTACTTGGTCTTTCTTTTCAGGTGAATATTTTGTCTTGATTATTACTCTTAACACTTAAGTAAAGTTGGGTTGCCCGGTCAATGGGAGGAGGATCTTACGATCAGCATACACTAAGGCCCTGCTTGGATTGTTGGTTTACCTCCGTAAAACATTCGCTTGTAAGATAAAGCCGGGTGGATTTGTTTCAGGTGCTTGGCTCGCCGTTTTGGATCCGTAATCTTTACACCGGTTTGCCCTGCTACATTTGTATCCAGCCGGTATACGATACAAGCCTCGATCCGTCGTTTCGTTTCCAGACGGAAATCAATTGCGGTTTGTAAGATACACCTGTAAGCTAAATACCTCTGTAGAATATTACATCCATTCCAAGCGCAGCCTAAGAAGTTAATCATCGTCACAGGTTAAAAGGGAAAGGCCACTTTCTGTAAAGCCCATGCATGCCGAGTAAAAAAACTAGGATTGCAGAAATCATGGGTACAGGCCGAGGACCAGGATGTGAATATACCAATGTGCAAGGTCTCGATGAGTGGCGCCAACGTGATGCTTATCTATCCATCGATAGCGACGGACAAGTACAGGTTGCACTGGAGGCCCCAGGATTCGCGCCAAATGTAACGCAGCCCCCGGAATCCGCCTGCCGTTTCCCCCTTTAGGCCTCGTTTGGTTGCAAGGTATCCCGGGGGGATCCCCACTGTTTCCCCGGGTCGGAGAACCACGGGCCGAGTTGGTCCAGGGAAATCGATATGGTCATTTGGACCGCATCCTTCGAGGGTTAACCCTGCCCTTTCCGGCTTTCTCCCTTTATATTTCTTTTCTTTCTCTTTTTATTCTTCTTTGTGGGACGGTCTTCGTTTCTCCGAAATTAATGATGGTTTGTTGAGGCGTCATTTTCATTTCCCCCCTAATAAAAGGCTAAATAAGGAGACGTCATTTTTTTATGCGAGATGCGACGAACTGATTTTTTTATTTGAGTAACTGGATAGGACGAACTGATGTGTAAAGCGGTCGGTGCCGGACAGAATTGGTGTGATAATCAGGCTCGTCGTTACTCAAGCCCACACTGATATTTTTGTGTGTGTGTGTGTGTGTGAGTTCTAGGAGTTGCGTTACTCAAGCCCACACTGTTTTTTTCTTTGCGAGAAGACACTGATCTAATTGTTGCCATGGAAGTTGATAAGAACTAGTGCCATGGAGATTGGTCTAATTGTGGCTGCAGAGAATTAGTTGTCACCAATCTTCTTAGAAGCAATTGTCAAATCGAAAGTCCTACCCTACTCCCGTCCTCGATGAGCTCGGGATTAACAGTAAAATCAACACTTCATGGAAGTCATGGTAAAAAAAAACGGTCGTGTTGTTTTTTGCTGCCATGACTTTCATAAATGTTCTTCCATGATAATTTTTTACAAGTGTACAAAACATTTATCAAAGTTTACCACAAAACAATGTCTGAATTTTTTGATTTTCTTTACAATTTCTTTTATTGTTCATAAGGAAGCATTTGAGCTCGCGAGTAGATACTACACGTCCTTGTCAAACATAATTTTTGGTTTCTCAGTTTTTATCAGCTCCACACACTTCTCAGCTTCTATCAGCTCTAGCTACTTCTCATTCAGCCGCATCTCAACCAAACATATTGCCACCTGAATGCTCGCAAGATTGTCCACCCGAATCTTCTTGGGTTCGTTCCTTTTCAACTGATAGATATTGTGAGCGCATTTACAATCAGACTTAGCAAATACGCCCTCCTAAGTGCTCGTGGACGCGCCCGGTCAGTGACCGGGCGTGTCCGTTTTGAGCCCATATTTGTCCGTTCATACAGCCACACTCATTATTTTTTTCCTCATATATGTCTGGTCACTTGCACGTGATTGATAGAGATGAAGAGAGCGAAAGAAAAGAATGAATAAAGAAAGAGTAAATGTGGTCCGGGTGGGCCGCTCCTACATGGCGGACTGATTAGGCGCGTCTGCAAACCCTCATATCCTCTCTACATTATGAGGGTTCACGGACGGGCCAGACGCATAGGGATATTATAAGAGATCCGATTGTGTCATTTTTTTTTACTTCTCTCTTCTGTCCGGTCACTAACCGAGCACGTCCGTGAACGTTTGTGAAGGATTTGAGGATGCCGGCTGTAGATGCGCTGAGTACCGCTCTATCTATTAGGGCCTCAATACACACGCTACTTTTTCTCGGCAAACGTTGCCCTAAGTCATTTCTTATCATTGCAATTAGTTTAGAGCTCATAAGTCATTAGAGATGCCCGGTGTTGGATAGAGATATCTCCACCATCCATTTGCAAAATGGCACTATGTAAGAGCACCTCCAATGACCTGTAAATTTTCCCTCGCATCCGTCCACGGACAGGGGAATCAGTTCGCGGACATGGATGTGGGAGGCCCCTATCCAACGCTACTCACATATATTTCAAGCAAGGTTTCGACTTGCGGACGAAATTCATGCAACCGGCTGATATTCATCAAAGTTTGAAAAGAAAATAGCGCAAATCATCCATACACAGCATGCAAATAAGCCTACTATCTCAAATTCGACGTCCAATAAGTTTTTCAACGGATCATTGTTGTCCCACATATACTACCCCTTCAACTTCATCCAACACCGTGTACGTAAATGGCCGCTCCTCTGTTATGTGATACATCACGGCAGTGCGCGCGGACTACACAAAGCAACATTGACTGAATGAATCAATCAACAAGTTGAGGAAGAAGAAGCTAAACTTACAATCTCCTCCTCTGTCGCATGCAATGGCCACCTTGCCTCCAGCTGAGTAACTACGTGACAAAACTTGGTGACGATGGCCTGGATGGCGTACCATCGATACAATAACGACCTCATATTGTGATCATGGATGATGTGCATGTCGTAAGGCACAATGTGCTTTCATGCGTAAAACGATTCATTCACTTGTTGCCAGAATGTCCCCCTCTGCTCCAGCCTATGAAATCCGCGGGTACGGCCAAGCACACATCGCACAACAGCTCATCCTCCATGGTTGAGTATCCCGCCATCCTTCTTACTCTGCAAAACGACATGGCGTCCGAAAATAAGATCAGTGACATTTGACTGAACACCTGCTGGGCGTGGTGGCCGCGATGGATGTCGTCGACAGGGTGGCGGAGTGTACCTAGGTACAAATGGCTCCAGGGTGGACAATGCCATCGTAAAAGGCGAGCGGGTGTGTTGGTGCTGGTTGCGGACGTCCGACAATGCATGTGTGGCGGCCAGAGAGGTACAATGGCGACGGTGAAGGTGGAGGTTGCGGATGCAAAGTAAGGGGGATAAGTGACGGAGTGGAAGAAAATGGGACTAG